AATATATTTATATATTCGAACAATCTTGACATTTTATTTTTTTTTTTGGTTTTAGATCATAACAATGGTCCATAATTCAAATGACCATACGAATGCATCAAATTCATTATGGAATAATTTTCAAGCTAAAACATCTTTACCATTTTCATTTATACTTTATTTTGCTCATGGTCTTGTATTTCTTATTGGTTTAATTGCAAATATATTTGTAATCGTTGTTATTATAAAATGTCGACGAATGCGTACTTTAACAAATCGTTTTTTACTTAATCTTGCTATATCCGATTTATTAGCAACATTAATTTGTTTACCACCAACTGCTTATCATCATTATGATAAACGATGGATATTTGGAGAGTTTCTTTGCCGATTTGTTCCATTTATTCAAGGTATTTGTTTTCTAATAGATCGACATACATCATGTAAATGATCTATTTTAGTAAAAAAGAAAAAGAAAAAGAAAGCGCCGATGCGCAAATAAATTTGCTTGATAGGCAAGACCGTCGAGTAAATTAGTAGACGGCTAATTTCCTACATTACAGTTCTAGTGATGAAAGAGATAAAAGAAAGCTTGAACAGAAAATATAGATTTGATTTGATTAATTTCGGCTTTCAATTCACATATCATATGAAAAAAAAAGAAGAAAAATATTGTCTTTCAATCTTATATTTTAAAATTGACGTTCAAATATAAAAAATCAACAATGTAATCTGGTTGAATATAAAGAATTTACCATTGATCTTATTTGACAAGAATTCCCTCCGGACATATTTAGATTAATCTATAATGTCTCTCTTTTTGAATATTTAATATAAAATTAGCAATATGATATAAAAAAAAAGGAAATCTTATAGGCAAAATTTTCTTTTTCCAGGTACATCTGTGGCTGTTTCAATTTTTACATTAATGGCTGGTAGGATAATAATATACAATTGAGATTATTTATAGATCGTACTTTGTTTTTCTTCTTCTTCTTTAATAATGATTAGTTAGTGTTGATCGTTTTATTGCTATACATAAACCAATTCATTCGAAATTACTTTGTACATCACCTAGAATCATTATAATAATTGGGATAATATGGATTTTTTGTATGTAACATTATTTATAGGAAACTTATTTTTCATTTATATCTTCTTACTTATCATAGCTTTTCTTTTGATGATTCCACTAATAGTACATCATCGAATAATTGATCCATTCGATATAACATTAACAGCATGTGCTGAAACATGGCAACAAAATATGA